GATTCACTTTTCGAAAACACGACTTCACTTTTGTCATTTTGAGACAAAAATCATATCAGATATCGCAAAGCGTAGCTCTTGTCAGTGATATATCGCATTCATTTTATGAAAGCAGATTATATTTTATTGTTCTAACGATAATTAATTTTTTGTAGAGCACTCAATATTTCACATTGTTTTTTTGGTTTAAACAGATAAATTAATGTATGTTTCATTCCAAGAGAACTTCCTGAAAATGACAAGTGAAACATTATATTATAGGTACTACATTAGGTTTCTGATTATTCCTTTCATCTTTCATTCAGGACATGCATTCCAAAAAACTGAACAATTGAAGAAGTAAGCCGCCAGTTATTTTCATATTCATGCTTTTTTTAAGCATGAATATTCATGCTTTTTTTATTATTGCATTTGGACTTCTGAAAATTTTCCAAATTTTCAGAAATGTTGCAGTTGATTCTAAATTCGTTAAGTAATAGAAAGCTGGAAAGAAAGATTATCTGTTTTTTTGTGGGAATGGATTGATCAATACTAACATTCTTCCAACCGATTCAATGAAAATTGTGAAAAATTTCTACTTCAATAAATATAATTTTATTGAACTGATACTCCGTTCAGCTCAATGTATCGATTAGCATCATTGGAGATGGCTTTGAACTGACCTGATGTATGACGCACAATAAATTGACCGAAATACAAATAATCGGAATATGTAGAGAAACATGGATTATGTCATGGAGCATATGACAGCGAATTCCACCTCTGACAGTCCCATTGACATTCACAAACAGTAGGAGTTAAGAATAACCAGTCATCTTGAGAACATATTAAGTTTGTTCTGGTTCTACGAAATTTAGGTTCTAGGTCAGGATCATGCGCAGTTGACATAGAGCGTTCTGGTTTATTGAGGATAATTTCGGACTGATGAATCCTCTGTTCTGGTTTCAAATGCAAAATGATCCTAAACTGTTTTGAACCGTCCCGAATCGTTCTTGCTCTCGAGGCTGAACTGTTGAAAACTGTTCCGTTGCTCATGAGCATTTATGTGGAAATTTGTTTGGGCTATTTGTTAGGATGTTTTTTATCAATTTGATTCGAATAATTGATGATTGAGGTTAGATAACATTTGAACTGATTATAAGGATACGCTACATAATAAAATGGACATGATCAATAGTATTTTCTCGTCTTCATCTCTTCAGATATACGAAGTGGCACAGTGGTCTCCTCAAAAGCGTTCTGGTTTAAACAAGTATCCGAGACTATTTCGGACTGTTTGAGATTTTTCGATTGTACGCATCATGCCTTGCGCTGTTTCCAAACAGTTTCGGATGTTAGAACCATAACAAACCTATTTAGTCAAAACACTTGGTATGTAACCCGATGGAGAATCGAACATCAGACGCAATTTGGAATATATTGTGCGGTTTTATTTGTTTCCCACACCTGAACTGAAATGATGTCCTAAGACACATGCTTCGCTTATGAAGTAAGTATAATCAGTTCACCCCAGAGGTTTCAATTTCACCTATGAATTATAAAGCGAGAGCAAAAATTTACATTATAGCTACCACCTCGAAAAGGACACATCCGTCTTTCAATTGAAAGTGTATGTGAGCTCACAATACGTCATAAATATGATTTCGAGGCCTCAATGGGTGCCCTTATGACATTGATTATTTCAGGTATGATATTAGGAATGATCTGTGAATGCCATGAAGAGATGAGGTATGGGCATACTGATGCTATGCTCAAAATACTCGGGAATTAGAGTCAAAGAAAGGTTAAAAATATGCTTGACTCGGGCGTGCTAAAGTCTGATACAAGAATCGACGAGAAATTGGGTCATTGAGAAACGAAAAAGTACAAGGAAAATGTACTCGAGAACACACACAAGCAACCCAAATTATAACTTGAAAAATATTGAAAAATAAAAAAGTTACATTTTTAGAGAAAATGTCATGATGGATGGAAAAAAAATGCAATTGACTCATGAGACTGCAGTATATTTCGGAGATTCAGAAAAAACTGACCCATTAAATGGCATCCAGGCAGCAAAACGGCAGGAGAAATTATACTTTCGAAATTTTTTTCCATTTGGAGAACACCGCCTTTCAAATTTGAACTTCACGAGACTAATTTTTCAAAGAAATACAGTCAAGAGAAATGAAGCATATCTCAATCTATTTCTCTTGAAGGAACATATCTTTTTCATCTGTGATTGTCAAAAAGATTCAGATTGAATATTATTATAACTTGTGAATGCAGTACATGTATATAGAATTTATCTTTAAAATAATCCTGATTGTTTTTTTGGAAATCAGGCATTTTCTGTTTTCGTCATATCTCCTGAAATATATTTCTCACATCACCATTGTATAGGTATATGAAAACATCTAGTACCTAAATGGATACATTCACTGATAAATCTTCAGTTATTATTTTTTTATTGTTCATCATGATGTCATTCAGATCGTATTATAGTTTCTACAAACGTTTGTTCCCATCAATTCAATAGTATACAGGATGTTTATTGAAAACAATTCATTTTTAGAAATTACAGAAAAACTTCAATTCATAAATGAACTGACCTTCAATATTTCCCTCATTAATGACCTGAGTTCTTGATAAGATGATAGAACTGCCATCTGTACAGAGACGTGTACTCTGTCAGCCACACAGAGAGTGACTGCTGTATTCAGTGTCCAAAAAATGCCGTTTATTGCTTCTGTTGCAAGCTATTTGAATCTAAACATAAAAATAAATGATGAATTAGTGATTGGCAACACCTAGCTTTGTATTGCAGCAGACATGAGAAAAGTTCCGCTCATTTCAATAATTATAAATAATGAACAAATTTATGTCACGCTATTAAGATTAAAAACACTATTGATAGTATTCAACAAAAACTTTTAGAGGTTGAAGAGCAGCGCTGGTACGATGTAATAAAAATAATAATATATGTGGTCCAATTTATGAGTAATGGAGATAATGTATCAAATATGCGCGGTAAGAATATTGATCTTCAAAAAAGATTGCTGGATCTTAATCCACGCACTTTCTATGTACCGTGAGCTAGCAATAGTTTGAATTTAATATTAAACGACGCTGCCAATCTCAATCATCATACTACTGGATTTTTCCGTATTGTGCAAGAGTTATATGAATATTTTTTGTCTTCTACCAAAAGATGAGATACCTATATCAAAAAAATATTTTATAAATCTTAATCCACGCACTTTCTATGTACCGTGAGCTAGCAATAGTTTGAATTTAATATTAAACGACGCTGCCAATCTCAATCATCATACTACTGGAAAGTTGAAACATGAAGATTCGTGAAAAAAGTAGGCACTTCATAGGTTTCGCACATAGGCGCTGTGGGGTATCGGCGCGGCCCTGCTCATCAATGTAAAGCAAGAATATCAATGATATAGTATAAAAGTAATGTGTTGTCAATATTTTTCCTGTTCCACCATAATATATGATGGAGCAGAACATATATCATATAAAAATTCGTCCTACACATATCAAGTTTTGGGTACCAAAATTTTCCGTGATAACTTTAGAATTACTCCAGTAATGTACTGCAGTACATTATATATTTCTTTGCTATACATGATAATGAAAACATTTTCATACTAATAACTTCACTGAGGATACAGTGGCTTTCTCATTTTCACTGAGGATGGTGTTATTTATTTTTGGAGCAGTGTATTAGGTAATTTTTTTCTCACTACTGGCTTCCGCGAGGAATTGATTTACTGAAGGTCATCTTGAAACGTTGATTACACCACATCAATTAATTATGAAGTGCAGGTGAGAAATCAGAATAGTTTCCCGTAAACCTTTTTGGGCATTCAGCGTAATGTTTTGTTGGCATTCTTCATTTTTCCAACTTCACTCTCCGATATATGATCTTTTGTATGAATTATGAGCACCAACAATTTTTTTTTGCAAGGCGCAAATGAATAACTTTTCATACAAAAACTGCAAACAAAATCAAATTATCAAATTTCATTAAAAAATGATGGAATTACAAACACGTTTTCCACAATGAGAGAAAGCAGTAGTGTCCGGCCGAAAGTTCGGTTTCGGTTTCGTTCGAGTTTCGGAAAAAAAACGGGTTTCGTTTAAGTTTCGATTTCGGCGACAAACCTGCCGAAACTACGACCGAAACCGAAACTGCATTCGGGTTTTTCCGCGTTGTGATCGGTCATGTTTGGCGCGTTGAATTTCATACAAGCGACGAAGACATTTTGCCGAGTCCACGTGCCTAATCATGTCATGACTCGTGAATTACTTTGTGATTTACTTTGTTTATTATATAAATATTACATACCTATTATGATAGTAGGTAACAACTTAAATAAGTAATTTTATGTTTGATATTTTTGAAAAACCATCAATAATATTCAAAAGAAGGATCTACAGCTACTCAAAAAACACCTCACCTATTTTAAGTATTTTTAAGATGCAATTAATATTTTTTCTTACATAAGGATTTGTTATGTTGATTATAATGTCGAAGGCTCCATAACGTTGTGATTCAAACATAAAACAATAAAGACTGACTGATTAAAATAATGCTTTCTTAATTTTTCCCCCAAAACATAATCCTTGTAAGGAAGTTTCGGTTTCGGAATAAAAAATGAATCTGTTGCACATAGACCTTCACCAAAAGTATATCCTGATACCTCTATACATTCCCAATGGACATATACACATATAAATTTTATCTCAAAAATAACATCAAATATCAGTTTATGAGACATCCTGTTCATGACTTATGAGAAGATAAGAAAAGTACGAATAATTTTAACAGGCACTCAAAAATAACAGTTCATGTGAAATTATTTCACTGTTCGAAGTATTGAAAGTCCACAACAATATTTTTTCCCATTGATTCAATTATTGATATTTTGTACAAAGTTGTGAGATTAAATATGAATAGTTTTCTTTTCTTGATTAGTTTGTTGAATATTATGAATTTTTTCCAGGATATGGTTCTGTCTCACCCCGTACACCTTGGGGAAAATTGGTGGCCATCCTATATGCTTTAATAGGTATTCCATTGATGCTGCTGTACCTCTCAGCAACTGGAGAAGTTCTGGCTAGAAGTTTCCGAAGACTGTACGGAAAGTTATGCGGATCAACATCCAGAGAACTACAATGTCCCTGTTCAAATCCCGTGAGAGTTCCAGTGTCATTATGTTTGGTCATCGTACTGGCATACATCTGTTCTGGAGCTGTGCTCTTTCATAGGCTTGAAAATTGGTCGCTACTGGAAGGTAAATGATACTCTGA